TGGCTGCTATTTCTTTTGTTATTGCCTGAAAAGAGCTGAAAGTTACACAAATTGCCCAAATTAACCAACTCTTTCAACTTTTGAATGTAAATTGTGCATCATAGGGTGACCCTTCAGAAAAGATTCGCCTGCACTTCAGCCCGATGGTGCTGAACTTATTTTCTACGTACGTGTTTTTTGGTCCGTGTTACATAATCAGTAACTATAGAAATATCCCTTCTCATACCTGTCCTAAAACAGGGGCACTCAACATTTTTTTAATGTAAATTATCTGTTCCAGGGAGCAAAATTATTGCTCAGGAATTTCTAAAGCTCGAGAAAGGCTAAAAAGGTTTGGTTAACCGTTCTACTCGTCTAAGACTATTCGGAAGTGGAGCTCTTCAATTTTATCACCGGGATATTGGTAATAAAGGCCTGCTCCAGAAAAATTCGGTACAAGACAAAGCGTATTCGGGAATTCTTTAATGAAAATACGGCTATTCCATGCATGCCCTTGGACTTTCGAACTGGGGTAGCTACCCGGGGGGGGGGGGGGGAACCCCCTTATATAAACATATAGTTATGTGCCCCCCTTTATCTGACGTGAAAGTTGTAAAAAAAGTAGTGCAAAAAAAAATTTGTTACAAGACATGTTTATGTTGGGTATTTTTGAAATGAAACTCCGAGTTTCCTATACTGCCCTTGGGCTTTCGAACGGGGGGCTGTACCCGGGGGGGGGGGGGACGAACTCCCTTATATAACCATATAGTTATGTGCCTCCCCAAGGGGGATGGTTTGGCGCAGATTTGGTCTGAAAACGGGTATAGATTTTGCCCATTTTGGTCCAGAATCGGGTATGGTTTACAAGGGAACTAGGTAGTGCAAGAATGTTCGTCGTTTCAATTATAAATGAATAAGAAAGGAAGAAATCGTTTTGCTGGCGTTCTAATCTCAGCAAATATGACATAATTTCTGTCAATATAAACGTGTATGTTGCGTTTTGTGACCACCTCCAGGTCTGAAAACGGGTGTGGAGAATGACATTTTTTGGTCTGAAATAGGGTCTGAATTCGGCGCGGAGAACGGGGCGGCACACCCCCAAAAAGAATTCCCGGGAGTACCCCCCTGGGCGTAGCTAACAGTTTCCTATGAGACGGAAAAGCCACCTAAATCTTTTGAGACGACCAAAGTCCCCTTCATACATCAAAACAGATACATATTTTTCAGGGCAGCCCCAAATTAACCAAAAAGGATTGTAAAGCAACAGGAGAACCATTTGAGGCACCTCTGACTTTTGGAAACATTCGGTCGTTTGGTGCCCCTTGTAAAATACTAGAGTGTTTGCAATCTTGGCTAGTAATATTCATTTGAGGTTCCCAATGCATTAATCAGAGGTAATTGTAAGCAACCTTATCCAATGATACCATTAAAAGTAGACAACAAGTGTATTAACAGTAAATACAATGTCATGCCTACTGATTCCATTTAGGCCCCGTCCAAACTACCCTGGATAAACTTTAGGCTTTCTCTCTACAGCAATCCGGGATGAAAACGAATCGTTTTTAAAAATTTGTCCATTATGTGTAAAGACACCGAGAGAATGAAGTCAATCATCTCACGAAAAAATCCCGAGGATGCTTGCGGCAGCCACATTTTCCCCATTCTTACTAACTTAACTTCATGTACTGTTAAAAGCGACTTTCTTGAAGTTTGGCTTTAATGACGGTTTATTATTTTACGTCGTCATTTTGAGTGGCACGGGATAGATTAGTTATGCAATGCTTTCTTGTGGTATACAGTGAATACAGTAAAAACCAGCGACTGAGATGCTGGAAAATAAAAACGATATTTCTAAAAAATGATTTTGCCAAAAAAATTATCATATTTAGGGAAGAAATCTTTTAGTTGAGATTGTTTGAATCCAGACGTAGTTAATCAATAAACCTATAATCGATAATAATCGATAGTCATCGATATCTATCATCGATGAAGATCGATTTCCGCTATCGATCGATAGAAATCGATAAAGAAAAAAAGTTGTGGCTTCCATTAATATCGATGATCTTCCGATAGAAATCGATGGTGATCTTTTATCGACTGTTATCTATTGCTATCGATTTCTATCGATTAATATCGATTTTGTTAATCGATAATAATCGATAAATCATATTTTCTGTGACTTCGATTTCCGATATCAATCGATATTAATCAGCGGATTATATCGATTAATAGCGATGATATTGATTGATTTCCGATATCGGTTTTTATCGATTAACTACGTCTGGTTTGAATGCTTAAGATCAAGTGAGATTAATGGGAAAGAGAGAGAATCTTAAGGCTTTGTCAAGAAATGAGTGAATTTCACCAAAATTATTTTTAGAGGTTGTAATGAAACGGAAGTCTTATTTCTGGGACGTCCGAACATTTTAATCGATTGTTTGAAACGTCATCAAGTCTACGCGCCACTGTCTCAAAGCAAACAATGCACAAAATTGTAATGGGGACACACCAAGGAGCATAATGTTCCATTATTCTTTCTTGACAACACTGAAATAAAAGTTTGTGGTCCTTTCCGGAAATCAACTTGCGATTAATTTGAAGCGTTTAATTGGTCTAAAAATATCTTGGTGAAATTCATATATCCCAAGGGCTAGACTGGACGTTTCCTCTCATATTCAATATTTATGATTTATGATCAGTTTCACATTTCTCATGATGTGTATTGTTCATGACGATGCCACGCGTCATTTCTATTGCAGTGATATGTCGACACCCACTCTCGTACCCAGGTTTCCGATAGCATTCAGCGAAAGACAGAGTGAGATCTGTAGGTAAGAGATTAGCTGGCACCTTAGAGTTGCATAGAATAGTTGGTCACACAAATATCAACTAAAAGTAGTAAGTTCATTGATTCCCTTGTTGCTTGATATTCGCCGACAAAATACGATGGCTAGTTGAAGAGGTCCATTTATCTATCTTGTAATCCTTTAGTCCGTCCATCTGTACGGCCAGTTTGTCTTTTGAACTGCCTGAGTTGTATAGGGTGTTCTGAGCCCCTACATTTCTTCCAGTAGATTTAAGTATGACTTAAACTGCAATATTAAAAAAAAAAAAATCAAAATGAAACATACCCAAACATTCGCATTAGTGAGGCTTGTAAACCCACTATTACCTCTGGAACAGCAATGACTCAACTTTTTCTAAGCGAAAGGCAACCCAAAGATAAGACTACCCTTTTCTTGTAGTGAAGAATAGGATAAAAAGAGATAAAGTGGTATAAAGTACCCTCTTCCAATACTGGCCCAAAACCTGACAAACGCCTGCACTGGAATACATATAAATGAGCCACAACGCATTGTTTAATGCTGCAGAAGAGGCTAGCATTAAAACCACGACTAAAATTTATTTCAAAGTTACTGTTCAGAATTCATGGGTTTAAACTACAATATACGAATTACAGTGCGATTTAAGGTGACTCGACCCAGTTTTTTTGGGGGGGTACCATCCTACTTTGAAGCTCTCTGGTATCCCCAACTTTACTTTTATCGTAAGTCTAACACATAGAATGGATAACATATAGATCAATCTACAATATAACATAAAATTTTGGGCGATCGGAGTAAATGTCACGTGGTTATAATGCCACGCCCCTTTGAGGTCTGAGTCGAAAATCTGCTGTTACCGGCATTTTTTCGTGAAAATCTCTCGGCTACACATAGTACGCATTAGTGCCTTACGCTGAACAGAGTTTCACCAAAATCGCAAAGACCCAATTCGAGAAATTCAGCGGTTTCCAAATTTAGGTCATAATTTATGCGAAAATGATAAGCGAACTTTACACGGATTATATCTAATAAACTATGAGATTCATCTCTTTATTTTGGGCATCGTTATAACAGATGGGTCCTTGCAAGTCAGCAAAACGCTTTAGGGCCTTGTAAATGCGCGCGATTTCGAGCAAAGCAAACATATAGAAATTATAGTTTTCGCTATTTGTTGACGTTTGTCAGCGTTTAAGAGTCCTTCTCACGAAAAAAGCATTTTCTTAAAAATTCGTAGTTTTTTTTCCTTCAAATTTTTTCAGGGCCACAATTGATTAACTAACTACCCGGACTCTGAATTTCATGGTCATTGAAAAACTGTGACATTATCTTCTATAAGCCCAAACTTGAGTAAACATTGAAGATTTTTAGCGTTTTGGCTGAGTTTGTGCTTTGGGAGTTGTCTATTGTTTCTAGTCTGTCATTATACAGCATTCTTGTTCAGCACGCGTGCAATGACCACGCTTGGCTGACTTCCGTATGCTCACCGAGATATTCCCGTCACGAGTTGGTTTAATTATTGGCTTGCATTAAACCTATGAAAAAATGATATTTTTTTTAATAGTAAGTAGATTTAGTGTGTAGCACTTCTTGATTTTTTTGCAAAGGGACAAGAAGCACGAGAATTGATTAAAAATTGTGACTTAAACCTCTATGTATCACGCGATGGCCTGTCTCACTGTACCGAAATTATTATATCTCGGTGAGCATTCGGAAGTCAGCCAAGCGCGGTCATTGCACGCGTGCTGAACAAGAATGCTGTATAATGACAGACTAGAAACAATAGTGAAATTCTGTTCAGCGTAAGGCACTAATGCGCACTATGTGTAGCCGAGAGATTTTCACGAAAAAATGCCGGTAACAGCAGATTTTCGACTCAGACCTCAAAGGGGCGTGGCATTATAACCACGTGACATTTACTTTGATCGCCAAAAATTTTATGTTATAATGTAGATTGATCTATATGTTATCCATTCTATGTGTTAGACTTACGATAAAAGTAAAGGTGGGGATACCAGAGAGCTTCAAAGTAGGATGGTACCCTCCCAAAAAAACTGGGTCGAGTCACCTTAAGAAACATAGTTTCTGCAATTTTAAAGACAAGTTCACAGGCGATCGCACGTGTCGGAAGCATTGCTTTCCTACTTCATCCAGACTTGTATGAAGCGGATGGTGACAGAACTTTACTGACTCTTGCCACTCAATTAAACACAAGAAGAAACATACCTGTTCTACCAGCTGCTCTTGGTTTTTCATCTCGGCTATCTTCAGAGCATTTCTAAGCTGTCCCTTAGCTTCATCCACCTTTCCTGACATCGCAAGTACGCGCCCATAATCAGCAATAACTCCCTCGTTATCTGGCTGTAAGTCTATCAGCGTGCTGAAGTACTGAGAAGCTTTAGTGTAGTCCTTATACAGGGAATAACATGATGCCAAGTTGCGCAGAATTATCTGTAAGGGAAAAATCACTTCGTTTTGTTAGATGAAAATGGAAATGCCTCTGACTTCATCTGATTAGATTGCAACTTAGATTTAACTTATCGCAGAGGTCCTAATATCAAAACTGATAGTCCTACACTGTCATTTGAACCTAAATCCATTGTACATTGGGCTGATTTAAGAAGGAAAAATGTGCAAATCATGTTCCTTGAGAGAAATACTTTTTCTTTTTCACGGCATTCCTTATTATCCTATAATCTTAATTATCTGAGCTTTAAATAATTACTCTACTTTTTAAAACTTTTTGTTTCTTTGCATTTTACCTTATTTCAACATATACTTAGTTTTTTAAGACATAATCTTGAACTTGAGATGTCAATGTTTTCAATGTTTTTTTTTTACAACGAAAATAAAACGGTGCATACCATTGTGGCCATGATCCGTGCCCTTTTTTCTTTCAGTGTTTTTTTTGGCCATTGTACTTTGTGGCTCAGTACATTAATATTTTTAACTACTAATCGAAAATTTATGCTCAAGCTATGTTTAAGACTAAATATGTGAGAAGAACTGCAAGATGAACGATTTGCACTTCTCAGGGCAGACTGGTTTGTACCCAGTATACTTACAGTGTCTGTGGGAAACTTTTCGTGGGCAGCAATGAGGATTTCAAGACCTTCTTTCCTGTGTTGACACTCAGCAAAACTGAGATATGACTCGTTATATTTTTCAGCGCCAAAGGCTCCTTTTTCCAGAATGTGCAAAATTCTTTTGGAGTCTCCATTTTCTGCGAGCTTTGGAAGTTTTCTACCAAAGAGCCTGACGCTCGACGGAAATCTGGAAAGGAAAAATGGTTTCATTTACCACACTAGAAAAATAAAACTGATAATGGTCTACAAAGATACAAATCTGTTATGTTTATATTCTATACCTGAACTTATTAATACCGGATGTTCGGGGTTTTCATAAGCCGCGAGGAACTATGGGATGGATTCCCTTGGAATCATCACGGAGTCCATCTAATCACATGTAGCGTGTTTGTTCATAACCGTTTATAAATCGTTATCAATCTCATACATCCTGTGAGGACGTCTTGTTGAAACATCACAAAATCAAGCTGGTAATAGCAGATACCTTCTTCTTACAACCAGAGGTAGGAGTCTTGGCACGAATGTGCAGTTGTGTAACTTTTTCACTCAAACCGGGGAACACTAGCCTGAATTTCGTACGATTGCTTCGAGTCGTTATCTCCTCTCAATAAAAACGACTCGAAGTAATCGTATGAAAACACTCACGCGCGTATGAAACTTCATTTTCCCAGACCTTTCCGGCAATCCTCATAAACTTTTTGACTACTTGTATCCGCAATTTATCAGTCCATCCATCCACCTTTTTAATGGGGACAGGAGGAAAATCGATGCATTTGTTTAATTTTTTAAACTTCAGTTGAGAAGAAAGATAATTTACAGCATTAAATCATTGTAGTAAAGATTTTTGTTCAACATTGTTCGGCCTCTTCACTTCGTGCCCGACGCTGTAAGCACTCGGTCGCGCATCATCCCCTTTGATGTATTTGTCCTTACGGCTGATGATAGCAAACTGATTTACGAAACTGAGGTAGAACACAACAAATACTCAATAGGCCATTCCCTTTTTCCGCATTTAAAAAATAAAACAAGGCTTCGAGGCTTTGGTGGACAACTTCTTGCCAATTGCTGAACTTTGTCAACCCTTGAAGCCTCGAGTTAAAGGTCTGTTATTAAATCACAATACCATGTTTCTTAAAGCTCTTAAAAAGGTTTGAAATCAAGTTATAGCCTTTTTAATATTTCAACTAACCGCCCAAGAAAGTCAGTTTCTCCTAGCGATGACATCACTTATGGAAATGTTGTTATCTGCCCTGCACCCAACCGCATTCCATATCTGGCGTTTTTGTCACTTTACAGTTTATGTGGCAAATTAAATGTGCTTGTATAGTAATATTTTACAGAAGGAATTGAACTTTTCTTGCAAGACTAAATTTTTTTCTAAAATTGAAGTACAAACTTTTCTAAGCCGTAATCCACTGTTTCGTTGTATGGCCTTTCAGGTTTGCCATCTCCCAGAAGTTCATGATCCAAGAAGTCTAGGGCAGCGAAGTCCCTGTCCGTGACAAAATCTGTCCCAATCTGAATATACAATGAAGCAAACAAAACGTGATGAATTACCTCCAGGCGTCATATGTGATATTGCAATACAAAAATCAAATAAACCATTCATCTTTTCTCTGGGAAAAGTTAGCTCTCTCTAAGAAGAACACCGTCGCGTCCGGACCGGGCTCACTGCTTTGAAGAAGAAAATCAATGAAGCAAAGAAACAAGAGATGATTAAAAAATGGAACAAAAAAATCAAGACTTACCAATCTTTCAAACAGCTGCCTCGCTTCCTCATTGTGACCATTGCTGAGGTAATAATCGGCCATAACAGAGTTTAATATTGGAATAGAAGAATTCATGTGGCCTCTCTGGTGTCGAATTATTCCTTGGAAAGTTCAAAATGAATATTAGGTAACAGCTGGAAAATATCCTTTATACCAAACAAGGCTATTTTTTGTCTTCAAGAAGCGATTTGGTCTGGAAGACCTTCAAGATAAGCTGTAGTTATTACCAGGAGATCATAAAAAGGACGGAGAGGGTGTCTCCCAGTCATGTGTTTGGGATACTTGAATTGCAAAAAGTTATTTTCAGATTGTATGCGGACCAAACGGGAACAGTTTCCCGTAAAGTGGTTGACTTCCGGAAGACTCGCTTTTACGATTCAATGCGTTGAAGCGATGAGGAGACACCAACTGAAAAAAGACATGATCTCTTGTAATGACACAAGAAGAAATACGAACATCAACAAAACAATTGATTGATTGATTGATTTATTGTGATATACAATTCCTTTAACAACTTAGCATAGTAATTTGTTAAAGAATGCTAATTAATATCGAAAATGAATTCTTCAGGACAGTACACTGTATCAGTACGTTATTTTAATAAATAAAAAACAAATTTAAATTTAAATTTAAATTTAGCACCTGATTTTTTAAAATACGGATGTGCCTTGTCAAACTTTTTATCCTTCGCAAAAGCCAATGCTACATTCTCTTGAGCGTTCAACGTCTGAATGTGATCTGCACCTAACGATTTCTTAAATTTAATTCAAAAAACATATAAAACAATTAAAGAAATGAAAGATTAAATTTCAGTTTTAAGAAAGCTTCTCCACGAAGAGGGTGTATCTCCAGTTGCTTGTCTTTAGATCTTAAAGACGCTATGTAACGATTTACTTTAAACCCTAAAAACACATTGACAACAAAAACAACAAAAAACTTTGAAATAATGGTGAAGGTGCATTTCAAATTACTCTGCTACTGTTCCTAAACTGTAAGTACGTGTCTTTGGCTTTCGAAGGCCAGGATGTAAACAGAGAAAATTAAGTCAACTTTTTATCCTTTGTTGTTGAAAAATGACTAAAAATTTAACCCGAACATGCTTTGTTTTTCCTTTGATAGATTCATTTGGTATCTTTCTTTCCTAGATAAAATGATTGACTATTCTTAGTCCTATGACCAGTCAGCTTTGCCCAAATTGTGGCTATCTCCAAGAAATAGCTCCTTGAATAGCCATAATGAAATGGTGTACCTCTAAAATTTCTGCTGCTTTCATAGCAGCGTCGGCTGATTTGGAAGCATCGACTGAGAGCAAAAAGCCGGAGTAATTGAGCAATGTCTGTCCAACATCATGGTGATCCGAGCCATATGCTTCGGTACGAATGTCTAATGCTCTGCAGCGTGAAAAACCCTTTCATTATTACTTCAAATAAGACAAAATAAAATGAAAAACTTCACTGAAAGAGTTAACGGGTCACTGACGGGTAGAAGTCTGTAAATAAAAGGGACTCGTTACTGTAGATTAAACGAGAAATCGCAAGCTACATTCCAGTAACACGACCATACACTCGCATTTTTCCTGTCTAGTAATAAAGTTGGCCAGTTGTGAGAGACAGAAATTCCCTTCTGAGATACAATCCTTCAGTCTAGCAACCACGCACCCTAGAATTTGCCAAGTGCACCAGTAACGGCTGATTCCTTTAAATTTTCTTTTTCAACTATCCGAAAAGCTGTTAAATAAATTTATGTCACTCAGATCATGATCAAATATCAAACCGGTCTAGTCCGCTTTAACACTTACTTCAGATACAGTGGTTCTGCTTGACTAGCGTCGTAGAGCCTGAAGTAAGCCATTCCGAGGTTAAGGAGAGTTCCACCAACATCAGGAGGAAGTTGACCAAAGTAAGCATCCTCATAAAGCTATATGTGAAGTTAAAACAAATTATTATTAAGTATTTTGAACGGCCCCTATGAAAGAAATTGTGTCTGTGCTTATAATCTTGGCATTGTTTTCATCTCATTTTCATTTTTTAGAAAGAACTTGAGGAAAATCATAGTTAACCGGGATTCGAACCCCGACCTTTTTGATCACCAAACCCAACACTCTAACAGTTGAGCTAACCAAGCAATTGAACAGCTTTCAACATGGTTCGCAATTAAGGTCTGGTTTCAAATCCAAGTGAGGGAAATATGTTCAAGATTTCTTTTTATCTTTCCAAGTTGATTAAAACACCGAGAGAATTAGCCAATTGACGTCACAGTGTAGAATACGCGAACCATTATGACTCAGATCTAGCTAAAAACATAAACTGAGGCAGTAACGATGTATAAAGCGGTAAATGGCAGTGGGCATCTGGGACTACCCTCCTACCTAATAGAGAAGCAGAGTGTAAGTAGACAATACAATCCAAAGAAATTTATAAATGCAGGTAGCTAAAAGGCATTTATGAAAACAGCTTTTCTGGCTGCATGGGTAACCTCGTTTGTGAATCATCATACTGTAAAATCCTGCTGTTTTAAAAGCCCCCCCTGTTTTCAAGCAAATGTACTTTTATCTTTGTAGGTTTATTGTGAGTAAATGTACGTCACCTGTAATGCTTCTTCAAGCACTTTAGCGCATTCTTCCCAGCGCGCCATGGACTTATATACAACACCTATGTTGTTGAGGGTAGTCGGAATTAAACTGTCCGTCGGTGGCAAAGTTTTTCGATGAAGCTCAAGACATCTGTTGTAATGGGTTAACGCCTAAGAAAGAGAATCCGGATAAAAATAAACTTCGGGTATAGTCACGACAGTCATGGTTTAAGCGGACACTCTTGCGGAACATTGTAGTGTCCACGGCAAAACAAAAATCAAAATGGTGGATGCCAACAAAATTCAAATAGCCATGTCTGCGACACGAATTAATGAGACAACAGGGGCTTGACAAACCCCTACAATGGCCCAGCAACGCTGACATGGGTCATTCGTCAAACCGTCTTCATTACATATTTCAAAGAAATCAACCAGTTCAGTAACTTGGCGTTTCGGAAACTTTTCCAGTAATGGCAATTTGTCAATAGAAAAGGTCACAAAAGAATAATGACAAGTAAAAACTACAAATAATGTCTTACCTCGTCAAGCCTGTTTGTCTTGTAATAGAGTACTCCCAGACCATGAAATGAAGTGGCAACACTCGACCAGCCATTGTCCCACTTATCAGCGAATCTGATTTAGTGAATAGAAACAACAAGAAGTTGTTTTATTGAAAAAGCTAGTGCCGGCAGAGTTAATGTTTCCATGCAGGTTAACGTTAATAGTAGTTGGTAGAACAATTTCCTTTGCATTTGAATCACATCATCACTCGTCTTGAAAAAGGCTCCAAGACTATTAATAATGATTTCCTGGACTTGACCGAAGTCTTCAGTGGCGGATCCAGACCTTCAGATAAAGGGTAAGGGAGGGGGGAGGGGTGGAGGGAGGCGGTCATCCAGACCCTGAGATAAGGGGGGCGGGAGGCGGCGGTCTCAAAAAGAATTTTGTTTGGCCCTTTGGGCCCCAGTTTGGTCTAATACTTCCCTGGATCCGCCACTGGTCTTAACGAGCAAAAACTACTAAGGTATTAACTTTTCTCTTAGCTTGAGAACTTCCAAGTGGAGTGGCTCGGCCTTATCAAACTGCTCTGTATCCACAAACAAACATGCCAGGGAATTCACCATATTGCAGTATTGTTCAGCGACTACAGAATTAGAATGGATTTCTTCTTCTGAATGTGCTGTCTTCTACAAAAGAAGCAAAATATAACAGTCATTTATAACGCGATTAAAAATAATCAAGTTTCTTTTACTATATGTTATTTTATTCTTCACTAACATACACAATTAAAAATAAAATAAGGCATTTGGGTGGGTTTGAATAAGCATTACTAGCATTCTCTAAAGGCACATGAGGCATATGTGAGCAAATTGACTTTGATGGATATACAACTGATGCGAACAACTGCTAGTTTTAGAAACTAGAACTGCGGAATAGAACAAGCAAAATTACTCACAGAGTACGAGGGAGGATACAATGAACCCAACCATACCGCCACCGCCTCAATGAGTCGGTTAAAATAACGTCTAACTTACGGCGAGATGAAAGAAAATCAGTGCCATGTACCCAAAATTTGTACCCGGCCGGTACAAGTGTCTTACCTCAAGTAGATAACAAGGTTTTAACATACACCGTTTAAATTCTATGGGTCGGCTATTTAAACGAAGTCTAACTTAAGCCGTGGTTTAGCAAATCTTTGGACCCCCAGGTCTCTTCCTTAGTAGGTTACAACGCGGTTTTATTAAACAACGGCTAAACTCTGTTAGTAAAATCCATCTAGTGGTCTATCATTAATGCTGTGTTCTGATTAGTTGAGCTACTACTAGGCTATATGTTATAGCCCACTAGCTGCAAAAAGGGCCGGCTTTGAAAACCAAAAAAATGGCGGCTGCATCGCGTTTTGCTAGCTAAAGATGTTTTTTCTGGATATTTTTTACCAACTAGTTGGATTTTACTAAAACAATTATTCCTCTCTCCCTCATGGCCTCTGAGTCAATAGCCCATTCTGCCTTCGGCCTCATGGGCTATTGACTCAAAGCCCATTCGGGCTCGAGGAATAATTTTTAATTCAAATAGCCGTCCCTAACTAACCGCCCCATTATTGCCTTTGGCTTACTATTAAGTCAACAGCTCTCTGAAGGAATGCTTCAACTGCTGTCATATGTCCAGCTCCTGACTGAAACTGGGATATACCATAAACAAAAGGGAAAAGCTGCAAAAGTTTGAAATAACATTTCTTTTAAACTACCATAAGAAAAACAACAACAACAACAAACAACAAGCAAACAAATAAAAAACAGTGAGTTGACTGGTAAGAGGCGTCATTTTTAGCCAAATGTTTTTGAGCACGTGGTATTAAGCAACAGTTTTGTGTTAATCAGCCTGAAAGGCTAGCCCTCCCTCTTCCACTTTCACGAGACTGACATTTCAATTTGTTTCTCGCAAACAAATTGAAAATTGTTTAGAGGTAAGAGGAGTGAAGGGAAGAAGGGTTTATGTAGCAAATTAATTAGCCGTTAAACATTGACATTTCATTCCTTTTCAGTTCAGGACACAAAGCTTAAAACCGATTTCCCCAAATCAGATCAAAGTTACCATTACTCCAGAGAGAGGATTTTACTTGGCTGAATAAAAAAAATCCCTTACCACTTTCAAGGCGTTGATTGGTTCTCCAAATTTCTCTTGCTCTTTGAAATGTAGGACGGCAAGCTGATCATCAACAGTCATCTTGTAGAAATTATTTATTTCGTCCCCAGTGAAGCCAGTACAATTCCAGTAATTTATCAAGTCGTACTTGTTCTCATCCCTGAGGGGCAAATTCAGAGAGCAATAAGCCATAGATTCCAACTCACGCTTTGAATTAAAAATTGATGAAAACAAGTTTGGAAAGTTCACACTTTTTGTACATCATTTCAGTGGGAAGTGATAAAGAAGGATTTATATGACTCAGAAAAATGCAATTTTTTCATTTGTTGTCGATGTTGTATTCTGTGCTGTACACGTATTTTTTGACAAGCGTTAAATGATATAAAAAGGGAAAAATGGGAAAATGGGGCCGATCTAAGGTCCTTCTATTTAAGTGTACGTATTTGAGCTATAATGGGTATGTCGACGCTACACTAGATACTAGGCTGATTCAGCAACAGAACGAGAACGTCATTTGACGACGGGAAAGCGCGCAGAAAGGGCTAAACTCGACTTCTGGTACCCAATTTGCCGCTCTGACATTGGTCAACCCAGTTGTTCGATTTGCCTGCGCCGTCGTCAACTGACGTCTCCGTTTATTTGCTAAAAAAGCTGACTCTTGCGCGGAAACAATAACCATATCGAATGAAGCTTTTGTTTGTGTTTGAGGACCCTCTGAGGGTTTTCGGTGAAGGGCGAAGCTGCGCCCCACCGATCTTGATAGTGGATCGTCGAATATCCGATAGGCTTCCATGCCACTCAAAGATCATTGCGAAGGTCAGGCTTGAATTTTTCAGGTTCCTGTAGATCCTCTTAGGTTGTTTATTCCAATGCGAAGATACCATCCACCGAGATCTTCTAAATTCTTCATAACACACAAAAGCCTTATCAAATAATTGCCAATTATCTGTTCCCTAAGCAAATGTTGCGACAATGATGTGACTTTTGACCAAGAGGCTTGGGCACTATGATTTGAGCGCTACTTTTTCGCTGTTAATCGGCAGTGGTTACCAATAGCAACCATTAACAACTATACCTTAATATATCGACTAACTAACAAAGCTCTCCGTCTCCCAGCGTTTTTTGTGGGGTGAAGAGGGTCGATGCATGCAGTAGCAAAGTACTAAAGGCATATATAAACCTGTTTAGTGACCAGGATATTGAAGCAGTTGTAAGACACTTGATAAGTCGATCCTTTTCCCCAGCTTTGACCAAAAGCCATGGTAACTCCATTTTTACTCGTTCGGGGATTTCCGTGTAGTACTCGGCACTTCTCTTCTGTCAGAAAATCAGCAGAGCCACATTTCAGGATGTATTTAAACTACCAACGACACACAAGCTGTACGAATAGGGCCCGGTTTAAACATTTTACTTCACATGTGCCGAAATGATGCTTATGAGGAAAATCTTTGTTCTCGCTCATTTGCATTAGATTCGGCGCCTGTGAAATGTGACTTCTTACTTCAATGTGGTACCGCGTCTCCCCAGTGGAAGATGGATTGTCTAATGTTTAGCCACAAAATAAACAAAAAATCGCTTATTTTCCGGTATAGTTCTACCCTGAAGTCAGAGCTTCCAAGAGGAAGTTGCAATGTTAAATATGACTAAAACAAACTATCGCTATTTAAAAGGTCAAGTTTACCTTCAGTAACGCGTCAAAATATTCTATAAGAAGCATGTGGTAGTGCTTGATAGTGGATTCTTCCTCACAGTATCTCTCTTTTACTGCGGCAGACAGTTCATCATACGAAAATCTAAACAACAAACAAACAAAGCAAGGTAAGTTTCAAAGACCAAGTATTTTCACACTATACTTTAGACTGTTCTCATGCAACTCTTGCAAACAGGGAGCAAGGGTGGCACAGAGGTAAGAGCAATCGCCTCCCACCAGTGTGGCCCAAATACTGGCGTCGACGCTATATGTGGGTTGAGTTTGTTGTTAGTTTTCTTATTTGCTCCTGGAGGTTTTTCCCCGGGTATTCAGGTTTTAGCCTCTTCTGAAAAACCAACAGTTACAAATTCCAATTCGACTAGGAATGGTAGACAAAGAGCCGCTTAGTAGATCTGCTACATCAAATCGTTACTACTAATATTACACGCACGCGCTGATTGGCTTACTCGGGGGTTATTAGCCAAACGGCTAGATATTCGCCTCCGAGCAGCCGAAGAAAAAAAATTAAGACCTAAAGCAGGCCTTTTTTTTCGTCGGTAATTACTTTTTCAGATCCAAAAGCATTGGACTTCCATAAAGGAAGATTGTCAAACGTTTGAAGAAGTCGCTCGTTTCTTTCACGACTCTGGAGTTAATTTGATCACCTTAAGTACCTTGTGACTGTGAGCGTTAATGTTCCCATTACCCGGCGCGCGAGATTTTAAAATTTGCCTTAACAAGGCAACTGTCTCGCGCTCTTCTACCTTTAGTCTTTTAGCTATTCTTATTTAAGAGAACTAGTCTCATCAAGAAAACGCCAATTTTTAAGCCGCTCTTTGGCCTAATTGTCACCTGTTTTTGTAGTTTGGGTAACGAGCTTCAGTATCCCTTTAACTCCATTTAACTGCAGGAAAATCCTCTTGCTGTACTGAAAAGTAGTTAAATGAGTTATCAAGTTGATAAAAGCGTTAGCTTTACCCGTAAAGGCTTGATCGCTCCAAAAGAAATTCTTCCATCGCAAAGTAGAGAACAGACCATATTTGATCAGTGATTTTGAGAATGGCCTTCAGCTCTGTCTCAGAAAGACCTTGTCGAGCAACGAAAATACAACACATGACCTGTAATAAGAAAAGTGGAATTAAACCAAGACACTTTAAGTTGAAAAATTACAGGAGACGAATTCTTCTCGCTTTTTACTTACATCTTTTATCAAATTTCCTTCGTATTCTTTGGGGTTGTAATCCTCTTCCAAACGCTTAAGAAATTTAAGAAACAGTTCTTTTGTGCTGAAAGAGAAAGGAAAACAGTTTGTTTGTTTTTTCTTAAGGTTTTAAGTGTGCGTCCATGGCTTAGGCTGCTACCGTAACACCAAAAAGAAGATCGAAAACTAAAGGGTCTTACTCTTGGCTCTCAAGGAGACCATCAAGGTAGGCTTCTAGCTGGAAAAATTCCCCAAAGCTGCATAGTTCCTATAAATAACGATAAGAAGAAGTCTACGCATGTCAGCACTAAATACTAAATGAATAAATGTAGCAATAAGGGAATACATAAAAGATATTTGTCATTTCACATTGATCTCACACTGTCTCTATACGAACATAATGTAACAGGCAGGAGAGCGATTTCTTTCTTTCTTAGCATTAAGTCAGTGATAATGGGTTTACAAGCGTTACATTTGTTAGAACACAGATATTTTTGCTTGTATACTTAGGTAGAGGTGTATTGAGATAAACTGTTCCTGAACGACTGGGTTGTTAGCTAGGTGTTTTTGTGTTTTATTGGAAAACGATAACTTTGCTTCTTTGCTTGATTATACTGGGCTTTCATTGAGATAACGGTTAGTAAAAAAAACACTTAATTCGCTTAGGAAACCTCAGGGCAAACATTCCTTGTCCCATCATCATCTCGTTCAAGGGCCTATAATAAACGTTTATTAAGAATGTCTTAAGATATTTTTAAATTATTCCCTAATTTCACTCGTCACCATTTGATTACACATACAAATTATAATTATTACTATTATTATTGTTCATCTCTTAAGAATAAGAAAACGTGAATAATAACTTTCTTACCTCCAGCAACGTCTTAAGATACAGAGGATTTTCCGTCTGCGCTTTGGATACAACCTTTAATTTCTGTTCTGATGATAAAGCCTTTCCACGAACCTTCAGTGTCGCCTATGTTGAATTATCACAAACAGTAATTTTGCGTTGTTTCCTACTTTTGATGTTATTATACTATTATCTGCCTATCTATCGGGGTAGCTAATGACGTGTTCGCTCCCGATACTTCAAAAACTTGTAGAGCAATTCGCATTTTGTAGAATTGATCATCCTATGGTAACCTTAGCCTTTTCGAGTCTCTCTTTAGTAAAATCCAACTAGTGGTCTATTATCAATGCTGCGTTCTGATTGGTTAAGCTACTACTCTGCTATATGTTATAGCCCACTGGTAGCGAAAAGCGCCGGCCTTGAAAACCAGAACAATGGCGGCGGAATCGCGTTTTGCTAGCTAAAGTTGTTTTGCCTCGATATTTTTGGCCAACTAGCTGGATTTCACTAAAACAATTATTCCTCTCGCCTTCATGGCCTTCGGCCTCAGTACATGGGCTATTGACTCAGAGCCCATTCGGGCTCGAGGAATCATTGTTAAACATTCTTAAGAATTTCTGAAAACGACAGATTTTCTGATACCTATTTCCGTCTCTATTTTAGAAAGTGAGAATTTAGGTGTCCTTAGCTTTCTGACAAATAAATTTGGAAATAAACTTTTGATAAAAGCAACTTAAGGGAGTTACTAAGTTCATGTAAAGTAATGGTTTAGTGACACAAATGAAATTTTTAACACAACGAAATTTTACGAAGTTCGTTTCGTGCGAAAAAATGCTAATGCGTGATATACAATCTGCAGTTGACCAGCAGTGTATAGTCTACGTGTATAATTTCCATAGTCACTTGTGCGGTGCAAGCTATATACAGCTATTTCGAGAAAGGTTGTCGGAAAAAGTGCATGCGACAATCTCGAAAAGAATTGTGGGTGGTTTTGAGTTCTCTGTTTTTCAAAGAAATTTGAAAGAATTGGAACGACAGGTCATGGAAATGTGTTTGAGAGTGCTAAAGGAAAGCAACAAAAGAAGGTTCGACAGCTACAGTCGTCAGGAACAGTGTTTCGGGATTGTCGCGCGCACATTTTTTCCGACAACCTTTCTCGAAATAGCTGTATAT